CCCCATGTTAATAGGCAAGACTGCCGCTGTTCATGCCCAGTTCCATTTACCTAATTCAAAACCTTTCAAGAACTTCAGGGAGAAGTAGGACTGCCCACTAGCACAGCCGTGGATAGAGCTCGGAGCCACATCCCATGGGCACATCAGCCTGACCAGGATAAGCGGTCCACAGTCATTTCAGTCCCAGCTGGGATAAGTGCCTCTGTAAGAGTCCAGACACCAACCGCAGGGTCCTGAAGACAAATGCCACAGGCTCCACAGGCCTGGAGGCCAGAGATCTGTCTCCATACCCAATGCTGCTGCCCATCAGAGCTTGCGCGCTGCAGGGGTCCTCACAACTTTTGCTCCTGGTTGAAGGAAACCAATTTTTGACACCTGCTATTCACTATTATCTGATTCAAATGGTTTGCAGCCAAATGAAGTCTGCAGTACACCAGCTATCTTTGCTCTTAGAATTCTACCTGTGAGGAGTTCAAACTGTCACGCTAAACATAGTCAACAAAAGGATTCTTCGGAGCACTGACTGTGGCTCAAAGAACATTCAGATAAATTCAAACAAGATTTTGTGCAACTAGCATGTACAAAGCACTGGAAGACAAAAATACAAAAGCCAAGTCCCCTTTCTAACCAACCTTATGAATTAATAGCAAGCAGGATGATCAAGTCCACAAACTGCTCTAAGACAAGGCTGACGGCAAAGTGCCTACAGACATAAAGACTGCATGAGCTCTGCACCGTGCCAATCACACACGTCACACCTCATGCTACCTTCCCAACAAGCCGTGGGGATAAACACACCTATGGCTTCCATTTTAACGGATCAGGTTGGTTCACTTGTTCAGACTGGCCAAACTAGCAAGTGGTACAACCAGGAGTCAACTGAGGCAGTATGCCTGGTGGAAACGTCAGTGCTGGCCGCTGCCCTGGTCAAACAGAGCAGAAAAGAAGCGGTATGGTAGGAGGGGTTATTCCTCCCCAGCGCCCATTCTCGGGCTTAACGTTAACAACAAAAAGTCCACCCTATTGCTGGGTCCAGCCCAAATAACAAGCTCCTCAAATCAGGGATCTGAAAAGACAAGAAGAATCTCCCCAAAAATCCATATGTAAAGTAGATGGTTCAAAAATATGAATATCCTAATAAAGGGGAAAAGAAAAAATCTCCTTAGAGTCACTGTATCCTAAAAGCAAAAAAGTCAGAACCACTCATTTCTACCTCTGAGATTATTTTTGATAACCCCAGGAAATGGCTTTTTTCTGTTGCCATCTCAAAGGACAATCACACCATTTTTCAATCCATTATTAAAGAAGAGCCATCAGCCTGCCTTTCCACAAGTAAGCGGGTGGTTTTAAGCTTTGCCTGCTTTTATCTCCCTGCAGCTAACAGGCCCTGTGATCACCAGGAGCCTGGACAAAACTCTCCTGAAGACAAACGTTCAGGAAAGCTCATTCCTCAGAGATCAGTTCAGAAGTGGTCCAGGTTGAGGGTGGGAGTCCAATGCAAAGGTGTCCCAGCCAAGAGGAAGAAGGAGTGAGAACAGATACAGCTCCCTAAAAGTATGCAGCTAAAATATTCACACAAATTAAATACCAGCCAGTGGCTGAATGGATCAGACCAGTTATACCCCCTAACAGTATGCAAACTCTGAAAGTGGTCCCTAGAACTCCAAAGTACCTGTCTGCCAAGCCTCACCCACCAAGTAGTTGGACAACCTTAATTTCTTCCATAATCTCCCATATTTCTGTACTTCTACAGTTATATAAAAAATAAAATAGCACAGGTTAAAAGTCTCCACTACCAGGAAAAAAAAAAAAAGTTTATTTAAACTTTGAACGACTGATTACTTAAATGAAAGACAAGGCAAATATGTTCTCCTCATGAGCCATGCAATGCCACGTTGGTTTAATAAACTGAGAAACAGACACGGGGATTACGGAGCAAAGGCACAGGCTTCCCCTCCAGGAAGCAGGACCAAAATCCCCTGCAGTTAGCTCTGAGCTCTGACAGGCTGGCAACCTAACCCTAGATACAAGCTCAAATACATTCTACCATCCTGTAGGTTTCTCTTCCCCTTGCAGTTAAGAGTTGGACAGAATTCCAAGGAAATAGGTTCCATTCCTTAAATTATGCCACCTTTAAAGCATTAGGTTTTACCAGATACACCAAGAGTTTCTACAGCTCTAAGATAAAGCTGAAGGCACAACAGATGACTTTGTTCAAGCTGGAGTTTGATTTCTATACATTCTATAGTCTGTACGCAGAGAGATCACCAAAATCAAGTTCTGAGCTAACTCTTCGAGTCTGACTCTGCTCTCTTCTCCTACTGGAGGCTGAGTAGACATAGATATAGCCCTTGAAACTGGGCCAGGGCTGCCCTGGGTCCCAATCCTGGTGGCCATCACCATACAAAGCTCTGGACAAGTAGCTGGCATGAACCTGCCCAGCTCTGGGTTCCTGATCCATAAATGAAAAGCATTTTGAGTGGGCCAACGCTGCGCCAAAAGTGACCAGACAACAGGTAATGTGCAATAGATAACTTTAGGGGTACATAGCTTTTCTATTTTAATTACAGTAAACATAAGTACCACATCAAAACTCATGACTTCATGGATATCAAACTTTCTTCCCAAAATAAATGTGTATTTAAACGTAAAAAGTGAGTGAACTAAAAGGAAACATCTAGAATGCTCTGGTAACATGGCATTAACCTTTAAGTCTGGGAGCCCCCAGACCAGGCAATCATCATTCTCCAAATGTATGACTGGCAGGCTATATATACCTGACCCATGCCACTTCCCTTTCAGACGTGGATGTACTTTTGCAAATAAAACACAAGACTAAAATGATCCAAAGCTTAGGTTCTAGTGACAGCTTTGTCACTTGCTGACAGTATGACCTCGGGCATGCTAATTAACCTCCTGAGCCTTGGTTTTCAGACCTGTAAAATGGGGATCAGGAGGTTGTAGAGGGGATTAAAAGCAACAAGGCTTTTGAAAGTGCCTTGTAAACTGTGAAATGCTACAGAAGTATCAGTCGCTACACTTCTCAGTTACAGGAGCAATGCCTGCTGGGCGTGTAACTCTGTCCTCAAATTCCCTCCCTGTAATCTGGGATTGGCCTGTGTTGCCCTTCTCTTTCAAATGCTCCCAGTAAAACTCAAATATTATGTGCAGTGATCCCAGAGTTTTGATTTTTTAAGAGAAAAACCTAGACATCTAGAATCATTTCTGGAAACATATTTGGTTTTTAGTACTTTTACTTAAAATACTCTCCTAAAAGACACTTCACCGCTGTCACAGCCAGAAGTCCCACTGCTGTAGAAACTCTTGATTCTAACTCTTTCCCTCCTGGAAAGAGAGGAACTCGGGGTCAGCTCGTTAAAATATTGCCAGCATTGTGTTGTAAACCCTAGTCAACTCCGATTGCTGCGCTAACAACATGTGTTCTTGGTAAAACTGCCTGAAACTTTAAATAGACCACCATTTCTGAAACTCGGGGGCTCCAAACGGCTGAATCAGCATTTTCAGAAACAAAGTGTTCTAGGCCTGGCCTTTTAAACAGCAGCAACGAAAAAGTTGTGCAATAACGCATATTTACGCACGAGCGTTCCTTGTTTTGGTCTTCCCCCCGCCCCCCCCATCTCTTGAATGAAAGAAACGGCACCAAGTTTGCAAGAAAATATTCTTTCAAATGCATTGTAAAGATCCAGGACCGTGTAAAAATCACCTGTGGCTCTCTTACATTACCAACGTTTCGGTGAAAGCAAACCATAAAAAGTTCGCGTTACTTCCAATCCCTAGAAAAGATGCACACAATAAAAAGTAAAGGATACCCTAATTTCCATAACGCACATGCTCCAGGGCAGTCGTCAGGCAGGCGTTTGGAGAGGCAATCAGCAAAGGCGGAGAGTTGCATCAGAAATTTCCTTCTGCAAACGGTACCGCTCTTATCACATTTCCACGGCTGGCGGGCGGCTAATCCGCGAGCCCTCAACTTGGTGTTAGGCCCCAGCGGCGGGTAACGGGTCACCAGCAGAACCCCCTCCCCCAAAAAAAAGGTCCTCCGTCCGAAGCTGGGCCGGCTTGGGACTTGGGAGTGTCTGGCACCACTGTCCTGGACGCCCGGGCGCGCGCGCCGCCGTCCCGCCGCGCAGCCGGAGCACCCGGGGCTGCATGGACGCCTGGGCGCCCACCCTCGAAGGCGACGGCCCCCAGGAGCGCGGCCTTGACCGCAGCCCCCGCCACAGCCCGCGAGCCGCCGGCGTCTGACAAGATGGTTCAAGAATGCACCGCTTGGGCTCCACACCTCCCCCCAGGGGTCGGGAACGCAGCGGGGAGAGCCCGGCGGGGCGCCCGGCTGCCTCCGCCTCCGCCGCGCGCCCGCAGCCCCAGTCCCGCCTCCGAGCGCCGCCTGCTGCGGGCCCGGGGCGCCGGAGCCCCCGGCCCGGAGGCGACGCCCTTCCGCCCTCCGCGCCTCCGCGGGGCCCGGCGTCCCGGCCGCGGCCGCCCAGGGCTCAGACAATGACGGCGCGGGGACCCGCCTGGCCGTCCCGGGCCCCGCGGGGACGCCGACCACAAAGTAACTTGCCGCCGCGCTCCCCGCCCAACTCCGTACCTGCCGCGCGCGGCTCCCCGCCGCCTCCGCGTGGCTGCCGGAGACACTCGGCGCGACCGGCGGCGGGCGCGGGTCCCCACGGGGCGAGGGCGGCGCGCAAGACTGTCCCGGGCGCCCCGTGCCGCCTGCGCTGCCGCCACCCGGGGGCTGCGCGGAAACTTTGGGCTCCAACGGGTCTCCGAGCGCCGAACCCACCGGGCCGCAGCTCGTTTCCCTCTCTGCCTCCTCCCGGCCTCCCCACCCCCTCGATGGGCTTTAAACTCGCCCGGCCCCGCCCGCCCTCCCCGCCTCTGCCGCCGCCGCCTCCGCCTCCGCCTCCTCCCCCGGCCACTTTTCCTGCTCCTCCTCCCGCCGCCACCGCCCGGACCGCTCGGCGGCCGCCAGCGCGGGAGGAGCCGGGGCCTGGGCGCAGGGCGTGGCGCGGGGGCGCGGGCCGGGCGGCCGGGGGGCCAGACGCTCCCGGAGGCTTTTGCCCCGGGCTACTGAGCTGGGCCCCTCCTCCTGCTCTCCTCGGGACTCGGGCGCGGGACCACGACCGCCGCGGCTCAGGCGGCTTCACCGGTGAAAGACAAATTGGACCTGTCCCGAAAGACAATTTGTAAGCGAACTATTTGAAACGCACAAAGTAGTAACTGCGCAGTCCAGATCCTTTATCCTGGGCGCAGCAGGACGGGACGGAAGAGCTGGGGCTGCCCGGACTATGTCGTGGGCTGAAGGGAACCGGCCTGGAAAAAGGAAACCTGGGTTTGCTCACTGCCAGCCAGGTCTGGGGCCTCACCTCTCTGAGCCTCAGTTTGCCGCATCTGCGTATAAGTATCGGAGTGCGGGTGGAGTGAGAGGCCCTTCATTTTTTCTTAATGCTGCCGAGCCTGGTGTCCTTATCTTTACGATGGGCTAGTAACGCCCGCCTGAGGTTGAGGGTTGGTGTCCTGGGGATTAAATGAGGTCATACTGGGAACATAAAGTGACTGCGAAAAATACTCCCCTCGCCCCCAATTGACGGAAGCCATTGTCATTAGTGTGATTCTTAATATCTCTACCGAGTCAAAACTATAATGCACATAGCATAACGATAATTATATCTTTTCCTGGGTCTTGGTGTTCGAAACGCAGCTACAACGATATCTTGCCTTCATAGAGCATGCACTTTGTTCAAAACCTTCATGAATCCTTGCATGTAACCCCCACTGTGGCCCTCTAGGTCGTTACTGTTAGAGTTCCACTGTATGGACTGGGAAACTGAATCTTGGAGAGGTTAAGTAACTTGCTGAAGGTCAAGTAGCTGGTAAGTGCAGAGCAAGGATTGGAAGCCATGTACAGTATTGTGCCAAAGCCCCTTGTGGGTACCTTTTTATAGCTCCTGCTTCTAGCAGGAGTTATTCCACCTTAGACAGATGTTACTCATGGAAAGGTCATCCTTCCCTGTAACTGAAACAGACCTCCCTAAAATTTTTGCCTATTGGTCCAAGCTCAGAAACACATAAGATGAAAATCAAGAGAGGATGATGTCAAAGGATTTTAGATTCCTAGAAGAAAGGAACACAGAGGACTCCCGTTGCAGACAAAGGACTCAAAAGAAAATTAAAGAGAGAAAACTCAGTTTGAGCCAACTTCTCACAAACGCATCAGCTTTGAACCTTCTAGCTTTTGCTGAAGGTCCAATCAGCAATCCATGCCTACACCAGTCAGATAGCCCGATAGGCAAGGAGGTTTTAATAGAGGTTTCAAAAGTTCCTTGATACATGGACATAATGTTCTTTCAGAATCACTTATGGGTAAATTCCATACACCATGGCCCCTTCACCCCTAAATACACTGATGTGTCTTTCCTAAGAATAGAGATACTATTGTACATAACCACAATAGTCACCAAATTCGTAAATTTATATTGATAAAAATACTTGTATCCAATCTAGGTCCATATTCCGGTTTAGCCAGTTGATCCAACGATGTCTTCCATAGTATTTCTTTCTCTTTGTTATAAGATCTGCTATTGAGGTCTAGAGTCAGGTATGGCATTTAGTTGTCTCAAAATGTATGGGTTTTCAGACATTACTATTCACAGAGAAGTGATCAAGATAAATGTCCTCAAGTGTTTTCCTGCTGGCATAGGTCTCTAGAATTCCTAGGACAGGCCCTCATTCCCTACATTTCCTGGCTCTCTGTAGACATCAGTGGGCAGAACCCATTCAGGGCCACTTTCTGATGCAAGTTCATGAACTTGTCACTCTTGTGGCTGCAGAAGCTGCAGCTGTCCTCTGTGCAGTGATCCTGGATGAGCCAATCCTGTATACAGATTGTATCTTATAGCCTTCCCTTCCCCCAAACTCCAAATGCCCCTGCCCACACACTATGCTCCCTCTCAACAGGGTGGCAGCCACAGTGGAATCTAGCCATGCAGCCTATATGTTATCCTGGAGAGCGCAGCCTACTGGGCAAGGCAGGGAGGCTTGTAGTTCAAGCACTTCCCCAAGGGGAAACATATAAGCTAGAATTAGGTGTCAGGACACAGGATTCCGTGATAGTGAGAAATTCAATTATCTAAACATGAGCTAGAAGGCTCCTTCAGCTGAAAGGAGAGAATCTGATAGACTCTAATTTTTAATTAGTAATGAATTGATTAACATCTGTCTTCCCCTGTTGACTGTAAGCATGGTGACTGTGGCAACTGTGTGCCCCTTCACTAGTGTCCTTCCAGCAGGGGGAGTGCCTGGGACAGAGAGGGCACTAAGTAAATTGTCATTACTGGGGAATAGTGTCCTGTGAATTAATTTCTCAGGAGCCTCTGAGACCTGGGCACTGCCTCAAACATTGCCAGTAACCTTGGCAAAGGGAAAGTAGGGTGAATGGCACCCTGACAGCTAACTGCTTTGAGCAGCAATGGCCCTCGCCTCTGCTCTCATGAGCCACTGCTAGTCTCACAGCCCGGCCACCATCCCATGTGGCCCATGCGAACATGCGAGCACGTGTCTGGAAGTAGCCGCCTGCCCACCCCTGCAAAGGGCAGGGGGTAGCGCATAGTAATAATATAATCATAGCGCCTGCCCCAGAATACCTGAGGAGCCTGCTTGTGCTACAGATCCCTGGGCCCACCCAAGCCCTGGAGAGTTCACACCTCCAGGGTTGATCTGCATTTCTTTCTCTTTTTTTTTGAGGTAGAATCTCGCTCTGTCGCCCAGGCTGGAGTGCAGTGGAGCGATCTCAGCTCACTGCAAGCTCCGCCTCCCAGGTTCATGTCATTCTCCTGCCTCAGCCTCCTGAGTAGCTGGGACTACAGGTGCCCACCACCACGCCCGGCTAATTGTTTTGTATTGTTTTAGTAGAGACTGGGTTTCACCATGTTAGCCGGGATGATCTCGATCTCCTGACCTCATGATCCACCTGCCTCGGCCTCCCAAAGTCCTGGGATTACAAGCGTGAGCCGCTGTGCTAGGCCCATTTTTAATAGACTCCTGCATGATCTACATGCACACCAGTATTCCAAACCTAAACGAGAGGAACAGGCCACCCTGGAGTTGAGGTGGGGAGCCTGACGGCATTCAAGGAAGGCTTCCCAGTGGTTGCCCCCATGGAACCCTGGAACATCAAAGATGGTAAGTTAGGCAAAGAGAACTAAAGAAAAGGCCTTTGGGATTGAGGGACAGGCGTGTTTCTCAGACCAAACCGGTGAAAGACCTTGGCTCCCTCAGGGCGCAGTACCAAGTAGTTACATTTAGTCACAGAATGTTGCTGCTGGGTCTAGGGTTAGAGTTTTGACAAGACACCAAGCTGGAGGGGTAAGAAGGGACTTATTTGTCAGATTTATATTTAACCGTTTATACGTATTCGTCAAGCATAGGCTTATTCATATATAGTGATGAGAGCCCCAGATCTGTCTGTTATGGGGCCTACCAGCACAGTGCCTCCCAGCTAGCTCTGCTCTGTCTAGAGGTTCCCCACAACCCTGGTTTTCCTTGATTCCTAAGTACCAATTAAATTGGTCAAGGATGACACTTGGCCCAAAGATTCCCATTCTGTAGGTAGGTTGGCCAGTGGGCGGAAGGATGACCCAACCAATCAGAAGCCTGCACCTGGGATTCTGAACCTGAAGTACTGGTGGGATCTGCACAATGGAGACCAGGTGAGGAACAGCTAGTTGGGCTCAGCATAAGGATGATGTGAAGTACAAAGACCCAAATAGATGCCTTCGTGCCTCCTGTCTGTCTGAACCCAGGCTGGTACAGCTATTGTTTTGAACGTCCATAAAGTTCCATTTTCCGTTGTTTGTTTTGTTTTGATTTTGGTGGGGGATTGAGGGCTGTAGGGACAGAGTCTGGCACTGTCGCCTAGGCTAGAGTGCAGTGACGCAATCTCAGCTCACTGCAACCTCCACCTCCCAGGTTCAAGCAATTCTCATGTCTCAGTCTCCCGAGTAGCTGGGATTACAGGCATGCGCCACTATGCCCGGCTAATTTTTTATATTTGTAGTACAGACAGAGTTTCACCATGTTGGCCAGGCTGGTCTTGAACTCCTAACCTCAGGTGATCCACCTGCCTCAGCCTCCCAGAGTGCTGGGATTACAAGTGTGAGTCGCCGCACCTGGCCCCATTTTCCTTATATTGTCTTAATATCAACTCTTCTTTTCTGAAGTTGATTGGATCAAAATGTCTTTATAACCAGAGCAGAGGCTCACAGAAGCGTGTTTGTTCAGGCTGCTTACTTAGGTATAATTTGCTGACCAGAAAATTTATCCTTTTTTAATGTGCATTTTGTGGAGTTTGGAAAGGTATATAGTTGTGGAACCAGTAAAGACATTAATACAAAGAGTTTTGACCCCAAAAAGTTTTCTCATGCTCCTTGTCAGTCCCCCTCCCTACTCCAGGCAACTGATCCTCTCCCATTTCTTAGGTTTTGCTTTCCTTTTATCTTTTTTTTTTTTTTTTTTTTTTTGTAGAGGTGGGGATCTCCCTGTGTTACCCAGGCTATTCTTGAACTCTCGGCCTCAAAGCAATCCTCCCTGCTCAGCCTCCCAAAGTACTGGGATTCCAGGTGTGAGTCACCACACCCAGCCGTGTTGCTCTCAAGATTGTCATCTGAATGGAATCACACAGTAGGTAACTTGGCGTAATGCGCTTGTGAATCATCCATGTTTAGTGACTAGATAGCATGATACTTTAATTAGGGTAGGTGTACATCCACTTGTTCAGCCATTCTCTGGATGGCGAAAATTTAGGCTAGTACCAGTTTTGGGCAATTATGAATAAAACTGCTGTGAGTATTTGGGTAAAAGTTTTTCTGGAAATGTAAGTTTTCATTCCTCTTGGGTAAATAAAGAGAGACTGCTGGGTCATATCTCGGTATATGTTTACCAGGAACTGCCAAACTATTTTCAAAGTGAGTATAGTATTTGTGTCTGCACCAAAAATGTATAAGTGTTCCAATTGCTCTACATCTTGCCCCACACTTGCTGTTGTTGGTCTTTTTCATTTCTGCCCCATATTGTGGGGCAGCTTCTAATATTGTGTGGTATCTCATTCTGATTTTAATTTGCATTTCCTTCATGGCTAATAATGTTGAGCACTTCTTCATGTGCTTATTTACTGTGCATATACAGTGTTTTGTAAAGTGTCTATTCAAATCATGTGCCCGTCTTTTTTTTTTTTTTTTCTTATCATTGAGTTCTGAGAGTTATTTATATGTTCTGAATATCAATCCTTTAGTAGAGATGTGTTTTGCAAGTATTTTCTCCCATTCTTTTCATTTTTTATATGGTGCCTTTCAAACAGCAGAAGTTTTTTGTTTTGTGAGTTAAATTATCAATTTGTCCTTTCCTGGATTGTTTTTTGTGTCCTATCTAAGAAATTCTTGCCTAGACCAACACTGCAGTGACTTTCTTTTATGTTTTCTTCCAGAAGTTGTATAGTTTTGGCTCTTGTATTTAGAGATATAATTCAATTGTAATTCATTTTTGTAGACCATGTGAAACAAGGGTGAAGGTTCTTTTTTGTGGCATACGGATGTCTGCTTGTCCCACTGGGTGATTTGAAGTCATTAGGTGATCCCAGTTTTGTTTTAGAAGCTCCATCCAGCTACAGTGGAGCCAACAGACCATTTGGGAGACTGGTAGATGAGGATGATGTTGGGCTGTGATAGAGGGGATGGACAATAATGAACAGATTGGGGTGAGTATAGGACATATGTACCACAGCAAATCTCTGCCCTTCTGGTGGCCCTGGGCTTAGATGAGACTATGGCAGTGAGCATAGTGCCTGGCACAGAGCGGGGAGGCACAGCGCAGGGAGAGCACATGGCCATGTTGCTGCTGGAAGATCCCACCATGTAGCAAGCTCAGCGCCCTCCCCTGGGGAACTCTTTCTGAGACGTCTCCATCTTAGTTGAAACAACACTGCACCCATTAGGATGCTTTGGGCTGCAGGGAACAGAGCAGAGCTTACCAACCTTGTCCAGGACTTCTGTCCACATCATTCTCAGGGCCGTGGCTTTGCCTAATGCTTGCCCCGGTAGTGTCAAGATCACAATGCAGATGCAGTTCCAGGCATCAGTTCCCCTGATAACTGTGTCCAAGGGCACAAAGGGGACATTCTCCTCCCTTGCCTCATGCCAGAATCCACTAGGAGATTTCTTGTCACATTTCGGGATCTAGAACATGGTCTCAGGCCAGTGCCCCAGCAGGAAGGAAGGTGAAAATGTGAGCATCGCGCATCTTTAACTTCCATATTGTGAGGGCAGCTTCTACCAGCAAGAAAGAAGGATCCGGGATGGGGTTGGCTGGTAAATGGACCACCAAAAGGACATGGCCAATAGCAGATGGCCTTTTTGGCAATGAAGAGCTGAGAGCCCCTCTAGTTTAGAAGGAGCTTCCTAAATAAATGCAGCGTGGGAATTAGGATCCTAGGAATGACATGCAATTCTAAATCCCTAGGCATCCAAACCTAGTTATATCTCTAAAACATGAGCTCCTTTCCAGCCACTTAAAAAAAAAGTCATTCCAGCACCTTAACCCCATTAGAAGTTAATTAACCATGAATGTAGCACAAACTTTACTTAATAAAATATATCTCCATCCCAATACATTTCATGATTTTAATAACCAAAGTTCCAGAGCTAGTAGGAGAGTCCAAAATAAGAACAAAAATTTTTAATTGGTAAAAATTATTTAGAACTACTGGGGATTTAGTATTAGCATAACCTGCACGGTATGTGAGGGCAAGTGAATGTATGTTTTTGAGACAGCACCTTACAGTTAATATGTAAGATGTTAAAGCCAGAAGCTGCTTCAGTTAGTCAGCATACATTCTTTAAGAGGATTAATCTGCCTGCATGAGGTACGAGACTACACAGAAAATAGAACAGCTAATCCTGGAGATGAACCTGATAAAGAGATCCCACAATTGGTACTTACAGCAATGAGGAACCCTATCCAGGTGGAGGGCGATCACGTGAGTGTTTGCATTCACTTTGGGCTTGTACTTCTGTTAGCCAAGTCTGGATGTTCATTTGCACAGGAGAGAACTATATTTTACAATAATTTGCAGAGTGTCCTTCTCATTCATGTATATGTAAATATAGCCCAGGGTCATTTTTTAGGACTCATCAGATTTAAAGATCGAGTGACTGTATGTGACAGATTTTTCCAGGAGAAACTCAGTATTTTTTCTTCTTCTTCCCTTAGTTATTATCTTCTCCCCTTCTCCTCCCTCTTCATTCTCAAAACAAGCACCATCTCTAAGTGCCTGCTTCAGCATAAACAGGTGATATATGTTTAATGTGTACCTTACATTATATACTGTACCAGGCACTTTATATACATATTTCAGTTAATCTTCATAATAAATTTGAGGCAAATATTGTTTTCTCAGTTTGATAGTTGAGGAAGCAGACTCAGGGAAGCTACATGGCTTCTCAAGGTCACTTAACAAATCAAAGGCAGGGCTGGCATTTGAAGCCCCCTTTGTCTGACTCCCAGTCCCTTCTACCTTCTTCCCGCTATTCCTGGCTGTCTCTACTGTCATTTCTTGTCATTTGATTATTTTTCATGTAACCAGTTATTTAAATGTATGACCTAATGGGATGTCTTTTGTGCAAAAGTCTGCAATTAGATTTCAGTATCATAAAGTTCTCCCTCTTTAGGAAAGGTGTTCTCGTTTATTTTTGGATCCTAAAATGTGATCTCATTTCTATTTAAGCATGTGTCCCTGAATCCAAGGTGGAGGAAGGGGAGGGTCATGGGAGGAAGATATTAAAGTCTTTTATTTATTCAAGTTAGGGATTTTAACCTCACACCTACCCACCCCTCCTTATCCTCCTACTGTTAGGGAGTTTGACTTACTTGGCTCTGATGCTAGCTTGGGAATTCTGACCTCCTGGAGACCAGAGACACAGGATGGGTATGGCACCATGACAGATGGCTCCAGAAATGGGTGGTGTGAAGAGCCAACCCTAGAGTGGGTGGAGCTGGGTCAGTGACAATGCAGTCAGGCAAAATATCCAAAAAGTGCAAAAGCAGTAGATGTCCTACAGATGAGTGACCCTCATGGTGATGAGACACCTGGTGGACAGAAGGAGCTAGCAAGGTCTGCTCATAGATGGAAGTCCAATGGCAGATATTCAGTCCCTGGGAAAGAACAAGATAGGGCTTCCATCCAGCAGGAAGTGAGTTAGGAGATCAAGACTGTTGACAGTAAAAGGTGGCACCCCACTGCTAGAACTAGGAAACAAGTCTGTAGAGGACCTGAGTCCCCAATCACCCCTGTGACACTCCTTCAGTATTCCTTCAGGAGAGGAATGCCAGTGTCTGCAGGGAATCTTTGAAGGAGGAGAGGAGGAATAAGGGGGAAGGAAGTAATGCAACTCAGAAAGCCTGTACTAGGCCAGGTGTGGTGGCTCACGCCTGTAATCCCAGCATTTGAGGAGGCTGAGGTGGGTGGATCACTTGAGGTCAGGAGTTCAAGATCAGCCAGGCCAACATGGCGAAATCCTGTCTCTGCTAAAAATACAAAAATTAGCTGGGCATGGTGGCAGACGCCTGTAATCCCAGCTACGCGGGAGGCTGAGATACAAGAATTGCTTGAACCCAGGAGGCAGAGGCTGCAGTGAGCCGAGATAGCACCCCTGCACTCCAGCCTGGGCAACAGAGTGAGAGTCCGTCTCGAAAAGAAAAGAAGAGAAGAGAAAGGAGGGGAGGGGAGGGGAGGGGAAGGGAGGGGAGGGGAGGAGAGCCTATTCTAAAGACCATCAGTGATAACTCATTCAGTTAACAGACACCGATTAAATGCTGACTACCTGCAGCATTGCAGGTGGGTGCAAAGCAGTCCAGAGGCAGTCAAGATGTTGGCATTGATGACCTTACAAACGTTTCTGCAACAGGACACTGAGAGGCTGAGACAGACTCTTTGGAGGGCTATACGATGACGAGGGCAGATGTATTCCAGAAAGAGTCTTCCCAGGGAGGGATGCGCAGACTTTCCAAACTGCCCAGGGGCCCTAAGTGTCTGAGTCGTCAAGAGTCCAGGGTCCCAGCTGGGGCTCTGAGAGACTAGTCGGTGAGGACAGCAGTTAGCAGCTGCTCTGTCTCTCAGCGCCTCCATGTCTGCATATCTCAAAAACTCCATGAGGACTCTTTGTATAGAGGCCATCACCCGTGGAGGAAGTTCGTCACAATGCCCTAGTAGAGCATTCAGCTGGGGGCTCCACATTCATTCAGTTCTAGTTAAGGACATATGTTTTGGAACCAGGAATTTGACCTGGGTTCAAATTCTAACTTTGCTTCTTGTTAGTTGTGGCATTGTGGATAAATTACACAAACTCTGTAACTCAACTTCCTCAGCTATAGTCAGGATGATAATTCTTACCTAATAGTGTTTAGTGGATTTTTATATCTTACTTTTGTCCGTAATGAGTTAAAATTCAATGCAACATAATAAACCACCCCAAATAGAGTGGCATAAAACAAACACCATTTTATTTTGTTTGCACAACTATGAGTCAGTAAGTCAGGCATGGCACAGCGAGAACAGCCAGCTTGCCTCTTCTCTACCATGCCTAGCAATCAGAGTCATCTGTCCGTGTGTCCCAGAGATATAGTGGTTGGCCTAGGAATGGGCCTGGGAATCAACTCAGGCCAAAGAAGAGTGAGGGGGAGGAAGTTTACTGGGGGTGTCTAGAAAAGGAGTTTCCTTTCCTTTCTTATGTAGGACACGAGCTATGAATGAGAAAGCGTGGAACCTCAGGTGCACTGGCCACCTCCCTGGCTCTAAGGAGAGTCCACTAAGGAGAAAGCTGACCCTGTGGGCTTCAACATAGGGGAACAGAGGACACATGGGCATCTGAGGTCATCACAGACCATCCCACCCTGGACTTCACATTCTGAGAGTCAATAAACATCCTTACTGTTTTTTGTTTTTTGTTGTTTTGAGACAGGGTCTTGCTGTGTTGCCCAGGCTGTTCTTGAACTCCTAGTATCAAGCAATCCTCCCACCTCAGCCCCCTGAGTAACTGAGACTACAGATACATGCCCTGACACCTGGCTCACGGACTATTGCTTTTACTTGCAGCTCAAAGCGTCATGACTAATATAATTGTTCACTATGATAACATGTGGTAACCACCCTATAAAGAGGAGCAGTGTCATGGAGTCGCCTTTCTGCACAGAAGCCTCTGTTCCTTTTGCTATCACAGCACCAGGTATACCAATGTTCATGAATAAGGCAGGGCTGCTTGGTTATTTAACGTACTCTTTTCTAGGGAGGAAGTGTCCCCAGCCAGGGAAGGCGCATCAGGAAGCCACAAACTCTGAGTGGGGGCTGGAAAAGGGTGCAAATCCTCCACTGAGACTGTGGACCACTCACCCTACCCTATAGTTCCCACCAGAGACTCTGGCCCGAAACAGCATGGGTGTTTTGGAAGGTGCACTTACCATTCTGCTCTGCTCTATTTGTGTTGTTTTGGAAAAAAACCTCTACATCTACACAGTAACACTTTGCTTTCCAAAGCATTTTAGGGAACAGGGTTATCCTAATTCATTCCTAGCATCTTAATGAATTGTTTAAGGTCTTAAGCAGAACTCTCCAACACTTGATGCCAAAATGCCCCCACAGACCCCAAAAGAGACACTACTCAGGGACTCCCCCGCAACCCCAGAATCAGAGCTATCACTGAATGCTCAAGTTAGGGTCTTTTGGGAATATGTCATGAAGCACAGTCATTCTTCCAGAAGGGCTACTGAGAAATCCTATCACAGTAGAGAGGACAGATTTAGGAGTCAATACAGCCACACCCCTTACTTGCCATGCATCATAGACTGGCTACCCAATGACTCCAAGCTTCAGTATTCTCGGGTATCTTGCAGGGACCATCTACTGTGGGCAAAATCAACTAGACCATGGGTCTGAAGTGCCTAGCAAGATAGCGGCTCATGGTAAGACTCAGTCAGTAGGGGTTATACTTCCTTCCTCACCTGGAGGAACTTAGTAGTATCTGGAGTAGGTTCAGTTCCTGCTCAACCACTGGTGAGACCCCCATTCTGCCTCCTTTCCTCATCTGTAAGATGGGGAAATAACAGCACATACTCCGTAGGGTGGCTTCTTAGGATTAAATTTGTATGTATGTAATGGAATGATCTGTGGTGCCACCAGCAATTAACTCTGGGGACCATCCCTCCAGGTGAGCCATAAATATATGCTCGGGATCCTCCTGACTCCCAGGCCTATGGTTCTTCAGGCTCATCCTGCCAGGAGAATGGCCTGATCGGGGATGGCCTTCAGTTACTTTCTTCTTTGGGAAAGAAGAGACTCAGAATGACAGTCCAGTCAGTCGGATGGCAGTGTCCAAGGAATGAACCACCTAGGTAGGTACTCTGCGCATGGGACAAGACGTCCTGTGCCTGTTCCCACCCTGATATGTTGACAGGTCCTTTGAAGGGCTGGGCAGGGCTGCCTGCAAGGTGAGTTTTGAGCTGGGCACCCTAATCTCACCTGACAGGGACTCACCACACATACCCTCTGGGCCACCATTCAGCCCTTGTGGCATCATCCAGCTAGAGCCAAATGGAGGAACTCGACTTTGGTGGATATACACCAAAGAAAGAGAAAGAGGAAGCAAGGCTGCCTGGCACTGAGCATCTCATTTTATAGCCATCTGTGAAAGAAGAGCTATCATTTAATTTAAATTTCCCTTATATTCACAACTTTACAGGAAGAGTTAAAAATACAATCCTAAACCAAAAGAACAAAACTGGAGGCATCACGCTACCTGACTTCAAACTATACTACAAGGCTACAGTATCCAAAACAGCATGGTACTGGTACCAAAACAGACATACAGACCAATGGAACAGAACAGAGCCCTCAGAAATAATACCACACATCTACAGTCATCTGACCTTTGACAAACCTGACAAAAACAAGAAATGGGGAAAGTATTCCCTATTTAATAAATGGTGCTAGGAAAATTGGCTAGCCATTAAGTAGAAAGCTGAAACTGGATCCTTTCCTTACTCCTTATACGAAAATTAATTCAAGATGGATTAGAGACTTAAATGTTAGACCTAAAACCATAAAAACCCTAGAAGAAAACCTAGGTAATACCATTCAAGACATAGGCATGGGCAAGGACTTCATGTATAAAACACCAAAAGCAACGACAACAAAAGCCAAAATACACAAATGGGATCAAATTAAAGAGCTTCTGCACAGCAAAAGAAACTACCATCATAGTGAACAGGCAACCTACAGAATGGGAGAAAATTTTTGCAATCTACTCATCTGACAAAGGGCTAATATCCAGAACCTACAAAGAATTCAAACAAATTTACAAGAAAAAACAACCCCATCAAAAAGTGGGCAGAGGATATGAACAGACAGTTCTCAAAAGAAGACATTCATACAGCCAACAGACACATGAAAAAATGCTCATCATCACTCGCCATCAGAGAAATGCAAATCAAAACCACAATGAGATACCATCTCACGCCAGTTAGAATGGCAGTCATTAAAAAGTCAGGAAACAACAGGTGCTGGAGAGGATGTGGAGAAATAGGAACACTTTTACACTGTTGGTGGGACTGTAAACTAGTTCAACCATTGTGGGAAACAGTGTGGCAATTCCTCAAGGATCTAGAACTAGAAATACCATTTGACCCAGCCATCCCATTACTGGGTATATACCCAAAGGATTATAAATCATGCTGCTATAAAGACACGTGCACATGTATGTTTATTGCAGCACTATTCACAATAGCAGAGACTTGGAATCAACCCAAATGTCCATCAGTGACAGACAGACTGGATTAAGAAAATGTGGCACATATACACCATGGAATACTATGCAGCCATAAAAAAGGATGAGTTCATGTCCTTTGTAGGGACATGGATGCAGCTGGAAACCATCATTCTCAGCAGACTGTCACAAGAACAGAAAACCAAACACCGCATGTTCTCACTCATAGGTGGGAATTGAACAATGAGATCACTTGGACACAGGAAGGAGAACATCACACACCGGGGCCTATTGTGGGGAGGGGGGAAGGTGGAGGGATAGCATTAGGAGATATACCTAATGTAAATGATGAGTTAATGGGTACAGCACACAAACATGGCACATGTATACATATGTAACAAACCTGCATGTTGTGCACATGTACCCTGGAACTTAAAGTATAATAATAATAATAAAAAATACATGAAATGTCAACTCTTTGGATGACCTTTTGCCACTTCCCAATAGATATGATGTACATGTTTCCATCTCAACAGCCAAAAATGAGTTTCGCATTCTGTTTTGATTTCAGCTGCCTCCAGGCACCCCTTTCTATGAATCGACACCCTCCAAGTGCATGTCTGTGGGGCACTTGGCCCCTTTCCAGTTTTTGGCTGCTATGAATAGCACCGCAAGAAACACCCTTGGAGGAGCCACTTTTTTTTTTTCAAATCCTTTACATATCTCACTAGAACATTGCTGTTTCCTTTTCTTCTTTTATTAGAGTTGAGGAAGAAAGGACTTATTCCAGCTACCTGAACAGAAAGAGCTCATTAAGAGGAATTTTTCTGGGGGGACAGGCAGCAGCTGTTCTGGGGGGTCGCTGTTGTCAGATTCCATAGTCCATATTCCTCAACTGGCTGTCTCCTTAGTCTAAGTCAGATTTCACACAAGGCCAGGACACAGGTAGGGCCTACAATGGGGCAGGAGGGCTGTGTCATGAACCAAATTTAGTTGACAGTCGACCCTTTAGCCACACAGGTTTGAACTGGGTGGGTCCACTTAAGCATGGGTTTTCATCCTCCTCTGCCACTGCTGAGGCACTAAGAACAACCCCCCTTCTTCCTCAGCCTTAAGGTGAAGATGAAGCTGAAGACCTTTATGATGATCCGCTTCCACTTATTGAAGAGTAAATACATTTTCTCTTGTTTATAAGTTTTATAGTAACATTTTCTTTTCTCTAACTTTAAATTTTTTTTTTTTTTTTTTTTTTTTTTTTTTTTTTTTTTTTTTTTGAGAGGGAGTCTCGCTCTGTCGCCCAGGCTGGAGTGCAGTGGCCGGATCTCAGCTCACTGCAAGCTCCGCCTCCCAGGTTCTCGCCATTCTCCTGCCTCAGCCTCCCGAGTAGCTGGGACTACAGGCGCCCGCCATCACGCCCGGCTAGTTTTTTGTATTTTTTAGTAGAGACGGGGTTTCACCGGGTTAGCCAGGATGGTTTCGATCTCCTGACCTCGTGATCCGCCCGTCTCGGCCTCCCAAAGTGCTGGGATTACAGGCTTGAGCCACCGCGCCCTGCCTAAATTTTTTTTATTTATTTTTTGAGATGGAGTCTCACTCTGTTGCCCAGGCTGGAGTGCAGTGGCGCGATCTCGGTTCACTGCAACCTCCGCCTCCTGGGTTCAAGCAATTCTCCTGTCTCAGCCTCCCGAGTAGCTGGGATGACAGGCATGCAACACCATATCTGGCTAATATTTGTATTTTTAGCAGAGACGGGGTTTCACCATGTTGGCCAGGCTGGTCTCGAACTCCTGACCTCAGGTGATCCAGCCCGGCCTCCCAAAGTGCTGGGATTACAGGCATGAGCCACCACACCCATCCTTTTTAATGTTATTCTTTTTCTCTCTAGCTTACTTTAGTGTTAGAATACAGTATATGACATATGTAATGAAATATGTGTGAATCAACAGCTTATGTGGTCAGTAAGTCTTCCAGCCAACAGCTATTCATAGTTAAGTTGGTGGGGAGTCAAAAGTTATATGTGAATTTTTGACTGCACAGGGGTCGGTGCTCCTAGCTTCAGTGTTGTTGAAGGGTCAGCTGTAACTTGATCTCCAAATGGGATTTTACAAACCACGCCCAGAACTTAGTGACTGAAAACCACCACCATCTAATTTGTTCATAATTTTCTGGACCAGTGATTTAGACTGGGCCTAGCAGCACAGTGCTTCTGCAGGCTTCCCCTGGGATCCTTCCTGCCCTGGGGTTGGGGCTGGAGCTGCCTACTGGGGGTGTGTAGGCCAGGGGTCCTGGGCTGGGACAGCCGCTGTGTTCCTCCGTAGGATTTCGTCTTGCACTTGCAGGGCATTGTCTCAGGGAGATGGAGAGGACAAGTCCTGGTGGCAAGGCGCTCTCCGTGTTCCTGCTGCGTCATGTTTGCTAGGGTTATGTTGGCCAGTTTGGGAGAGTGATGTCTGTGGGTGCAGACACGTGACTTAGGGTGCTTTGGGAGCTGTTGCCTTAACACTTTACAACACACGTACAGGAAACTTCATACGAAACCTGGAAAATTTGAAAGAAGATACATACTGCTTTACACTAAACATACTACTTTAAACGTACTACTTTAAACCAGGTCTTATTTCTGTATGTGGTCAGTGTGAATGCGTATCTTTTATTAAGCCTTATAATTATCTCATGAATAGCAAGATCATACTACATTTGTCTACTTTTGTTAAAGGTTTTAACATATTTAATATAAACACTTAAAATGTACCACAAATTTTGTAATCCTGATTTAGCTTTATTTTTTTTTTTTCATTTTTCTATACCAAGTGCCTGTAAAAATAGAAGTGAAATGGGCCTCTACTGGCCCCCCAAACCTCTGGTCATAAGTCTGGTTATAGGGTCAGCCCATAGATGGGCTGCTCTGAGCTGAGGGGAGCCAACTCAGAGGTGGAGATCGGTACACAGGACGGTCACTGGAAGGTGTTCTCGGGAACACCTGTGGGAGGGAAGGAACAAAGTAAGAGTTGAAGATGGTGTTGAATGGCAACACTGTCATAGAAGTCTCTGCTGACCCTGTGGACAGCTCTGTGCTGGGATCTTCTAAACTGGGGCAAAGAGGTGGGGTTCTCATGACCACTGCTTCCCTGTCAGCCATTGGATGCGGCTGCCCCCCAGCAAGGGAACCTAAGTGCAGGCATGTCTTGCAGAGGGACTCCGCTGGGCACGACTGGCCACCCACACTGGCAGCAGCTGGGAGATGAGCCCATTCGTCAAAGAAGGGAGTTTGGGCTGGGTGGCCTGGCATCCGTATGCCACCCCAGTCACATCTCCTTCTTTGCACCCTTGCTGTAGGGATGAGACCATGAAAAAGCCATGCAACCACAGGGAAGCACAGCTGCCCGAGCAGCAGGTCTGTGGGCACAGCAGCTTCCCCTGGAAGGAGCGCAGCCCCGGCAGGCCTGCTGAGGCTTGTCCAGTCCAGTACTGCGAACGCTGGTGAGAACTAATCCGCAGATGTCTGGGTGCCCCGCCTCTTTGACATATAAATTGGGGTTTTCTGTTGCAGGCATTTCTCTGCAAGCTTAACTGCTACACCCTGGATCGGCTGCAGTCTCATCAATGGGCAGCCTCCCCTAACAGCCTGAATTTAGGGGAGGCCGACCACATTCACAGGTCATAAACCACCCTCTTTCTGGTCTAAGATTTCCTGTCATGGATATCGCAGCAGTGACAAAAGCCTGAAGACTTTCTCTCCAGCGGCAATCCCCACACGGCACCACCTACAAATGTGGTCTTCACTGACCCACCCGGAGTCTCTCCCATGCAGCGTCCTAGCCAACTCAGGCTCCCATGAGAACATATCACAGACTGCGGGGCTTAAACAATAGACGCTTATTTTCTCATGCTTCTGGAAGCCAAAGTCCAAGATCAGGGTGTGGGCAAAGCTAATTTCTCCTGAGCCCGTGCTTCTGTGTCCTCACAGGGTCTGCCCACTGAGTGTCCGTGTCCCAATCTCCTCTTATAAGGTCACGAGTCAGGTTGGATTAGGTCCAACTCTTATGACCTCCGTTCACCTTA